AACATTTGTCTCTCTAGTATGGCTTCATATTTGTATGACTTCCTTGTATGGCTTCATATTTATATTGACCCACCTGTGTATCTAAACCAACTGCTATTATAACTTTTTACTCTGATTGAATATCTCTAAGTGATCTTCTAACTGATAATGGAAAGACTTTCTTTTATTCTCACCTAGACTGACTTAAGTGGCATATATACAGAAGATTTTTTATTAAGTACCACTTCTATATTCTTTATTAAGTACAAATTTTATTAGTATTATTATACGAGTCATTCTTACTTCTACCTCTAAACTAAAGATAATAATTTCATTTTTAAATATTAATGAAAACCTAGACTTTTCTTTTCATAAAAAAAATAATTCTGGAGAATTTCAAAACTAAAATAATGAACTAATTTAAAGTTTCATTTCACGTCGTTTCAGAACATTTATCGGATTCCTTGGGAAACTTTAAATGAGAATAATTATTTTACCTGAAGGAACACTTTTCTTCGCTCTAATATTTCTGTTGAAATATTCTTAGATTTAGTAAGACAAGATTTTGTGGAAAAGTTGAATTGAAGGCTAGCCTGCAAATGCATTGAATTTATTAATATGTATCACACGAGTATCTTCTAATAATTGTCATTGTCATTAGCTTTTTTTACTATAGATAAGGTCTGTATAATGGACTATTGTGTTTTTAGGTCGTTTTCCTGGACAACTCCGTCATACATTAACATTTGAAGTTATATTCATATTATAATATTATTTATTAACTTCAAGCAACATAGGAAAACACATACTACTAACAATTGAAATAAAGTGAAATTGTCAAATGCGAAAAAAATACAAGCAAGCAATAAAAGCTGAAAAACGTATTGTTTATGCAAACATAATAAATAAATCCACTAACAAAAGTAAGAAAATACGGAGTACCTATTGTTAAAAAAGAAACCTATAAGCTACTATCTTAGCAGGCTACTAGAAGATCGAATTCGTTCTTTATGGTTCCAATAGTAGTATCTGATGTGAAAGAATGCATACACAAAGTAAAAAATTCCTCATGTGTTGAGGGACAAGCCATCTCTAGATATAATTATTGAACCACTCACAATAATTTTTAACAAATCTGTTAACGGGGGTTACTGACCGAATGTATTTAAAATATCAAGTAATTCCACTTCATAAAAAGGAAATAAAAATGCTAAAGAGAATTCCAGACCTATTATCATAGTACCAATATTAAGTAAAATTTTTAAAATTTTAATTAAAAGATCGTATAATAAATTATTTGGATAAGAAATCAATTATATCTAGCTCTCAATTTGGTTTTAGAAAAAAAAAACACTCAAAAACAACTAAAGCTTTATTAGAAGTAATAGAACATATTGTTCACTGTCTTGATGCAGGTGTGTGGATATTCAAACACTATTAATAAAATTGGTATGGAATAAGGGGTACCATACACGACCTTTTAAAATCATATCTTACAGGAAGAACACAGATTGTTGCATTTAATAATCAAGAATTTAATTCACAACCAGTTTCAACCGGAGTACCAAAAGGATCAGTATTGGGACCTCTGCTATTCTTGATATATATAAATTATTTACTAAGTGCGTTAGAAAACACCAACTGTTTTCTTTTGCAGATGACACAACCTTATTATGTAGAGGTAAAACTGATTACAGTCAGGAAATAGAAAAATTTAAATCCTGGTTTAACTGTAACAAACTTAAGTTAAACGAGCAGAAAACTCAGACAATAGTAGTTAGTTCCGATAGATGGGTTACACCATATAAACCAGTAAAGTTACTAGGTGTTACTATGGAGACAAGGTTGAACTGGTCGCACCATTTTGAAGGATTGTGTAAGAAGCTCGCCTCACAGCGAAAAACGTCTTCAGTACGACATAAATGGCGGAAATGGTAACCCTGGACTTTAGAATGGTATAAAATGAAACCGACAGCGTCTGACCCAGATTGAGCGTCTGTCAACAGCGTTTGTAATCATAATGGACGGCTACCATAAACCTCGCCAACATGCAAGGCAAGCGTGAAGTTTAAATTGCTATTATCCCTTTATCATGTCAGATCTGGAAACAAAAACGGAGTCACCCAAATCAGTAAAATGAAAAATGCAGGATCTCACACTGATAAAGTATCAGTCAGTCCCACTAATTCTGGGGACGACAAAAATCTGAAATATTTGAGAAAACCATTTAACAGATATGTATATAACGCATTCTTGGGAAATAATACTTCTGGGGGGTCAGGATTGAAGAGAGAGATAGTGGTCGACGTGATGTCGTGTATTGTCCGTCTCCAGAGATCTCTGTCTCTAGTCATTTCTTTTAATTCATGCATAGGTTTTTGGCATATTCCTATAATTTGATCTATCCATCTTGTTGGGGATCTTCCTCGTGATCTTCGGCCTTCTACCTTTCCTTGTATTGTATTATATAATATAATATATAATAATACTTATGCGGTGGTTAAAGACTGAAAACCTCAGGTTTTCATATTTTGCCAATGTTTCCATTTAAAGTTATTTTTAAAAATTGTCCGCTAATTTTAGACGAAAAAAGTACCAGACTTGAAAAAAACCTTAATTCTATAAACATTAAAACCTTAATTCCCTTAAAACGATGTCCTTTGAATTTTTTTATTTAAAAATTTATTTGAAAACTTTCCGCTAATTTTAGAACAAAAATAGTACCAAATTCTTTAAAAAAAATCTGATCTGATTTTTTTTTATTTGAAAACTCATTCGAAAATTTTCCGCTAATTTTAGACCAAAAATTGTACCAAATTCTTAAAAAATCCTTAATTCCATAAAAATAAACCTTTTATTCTCTAAAACCATCTCATTTAAATTTTGAAAATTCATTTAAAATTTGTTCGCTAGTTTTAGACCAAAAATAGTACCAAATTCTTAAAAAAAACTTTTTTTACATAAAAATAAATAGGAATTCTCTTAAAACCATTTGATTTATTTTTTTTATTTGAAAATTTTCGGCTAATTTTAGAATAAAAATTGTACCAAATTATTAAAAACATCTTAATTCCACAACAATAAAACCTTAATTCGCTTAAAACCATCTCGTTTCAAATTTTTTTATTTGAAAATTTATTCAGAAACTTCAGGCTAATTTTATACCAAAAGTACTACCAAATTTCTAAAAAAATCTTAATTCCATAAAAATAAAACCTTAATTTCCTTAAAACCATCTCATTTGAGTTCTTTTATTTGAAAATTCATTTGAAAAATTTTCGTTAATTTTAGACCAAAAATGGTACCAAATTCTTAAAAAAAAACCTTCATCATTAGCCATTTTGCGTCCACTGCTGAACATAGGCCTCCCGTAAATAATTCCATTGCATCCGATCTTGAGCAACTTGAATCCAGTTAGACTGGATGCGCTTTAAATCGTCCGACCACCTTGTTGGAGGACATCCTCGACTACGCTAAGCATCGTGTCTAGGCCTCCACTCTAAAATTTTCTTTGTGCATCTTCCATCTCTGACCCTAGCAACATGTCCTGCCCAGTTCCATTTCAGGGTTGTAATTCTTTCAACTGCGTCCGTCACACCAGTTTTTCTCCTTACTATCTGACTCGAAACTCTGTCCCTGAGTGATACGCCCAACATTGACCTCTCCATCGCTCTCTGTGCCACTTGTATCTTATTAATTACTTTTCTGGTAAGTGTCAATGTTTCTGCTCCATATGTCAGAACTGGAAGTACACACTGATCAAAAACTTTTCTCTTCAAGCACATGGGAATAGCTGATTTAAAGACTTCCCTCAGTTTTCCGTAAGCTGCCCATGCCAGTCCTATTCTTCTTTTTAACTCTGTTGTTTGATTGTCTCTTCCCAATTTAATCTCGTGGCCCAGATACTTATAGGAATACACTTGTTTAATTTGCGTGCCATTAGTGGAAATGTTTTTTGCCAGTACCAGGTTGGTCATGTATTGTGTTTTGGAAAAATTAATTTTAAGGCCTCGTTAATTTTAACAACTCGTGCACAAGAGCTCTGAAGGTCTTGAAGAAGTTGGCATGCATGATCTACCTGATCTGCAATAAGAACTATGTCGTCTGCAAACCTCAAGTTGTTCAAAAATTCCCCATTTATATTTAATCCAATATTTTCCCAATTATTTTTTCTCATAGCACTCTGTAATAGGGCGGTGAATAGTTTAGGAGAGATAGTGTCTCCTTGCCTAATACCTTTCTCCAAGGGAAATGTGTCTATGTCACCATAGTACATTTTTACAGCAGCTGTTGCGCTATCATATATATTTCGAAGAAGAGTTGTGTACCTATGGTCAATACTTCACTCTGTAAGAGCTCTTAACATGGAGCTATGCTGGACTGGGTCAAATGCTTTCTCAAAGTCTACAAATATTAATATCAATGGCTTGTTGTATTCTATAACTTTCTCTATCAAGGATTTTATTACTTGTAGGTGGTCATTTGTTCCAAAGCCACTCCTAAATCCGGCCTGCTCTAGAGGTTGATGAAAATCTAGCTTAGGTCCCAGTCTGTTAGTAATTATTCTCATAAAGAGTTTATATAAATGAGATAATAAGTTGATAGGTCTGTAGTTGCCAATTTCTGTTACATCTCCTTTTTTATGCAATATTATCATAATGGCATTATTCCATTTTTCTGGCGTATTTCCTTCAAAGAGGCAGGCATTATAAAGGGTTTTTAAAGCCTTTATGACGCATTCGCCTCCTAGTTTTATCATTTCACTTACAATGCCATCTTCTCCAGGTGTTTTGTTGTTCTTCATACCTTTTAATGCTGACTTAATTTCCTCTTCGGTTATATCTGGAAGTTCCTCTGACTCTTGATTTAGTATTGCTGGAATTTCTACTTCGGGAATGTGATCATCTCGACTATATAATGTTCTATAGTAAAAAAAACCCTAATTCCCTTAAAACCATCTCATTTGATTTTTTTTATTCGTTCTTCATACTATTTAATGTTTTAGGCTGGAATCTTTGGTTATGATCCTAACCTACATCGTCTACTGTATAGTTCTACACTTTAACACTCCGCTTGAACGATGGGCGCAGACTTGGCCTGTCCCATTCAAAAAGATGGCTCCTACAGAACAATCAGGACTAGTGAGCTACAAGACATTGGAAGATGGAGGTAAACACCAATCCTACGGTATGGAGCAAACGAACGCCGGTCAAGGTTATGGTGTAGAGCAGACTCAACAGTTTCAACAACCTGATTATTCTGATCCAGGTAACAATAAAATTTCCTAGATATTACAACGACATTTCAGAGTCGATATAAAGTAGGTATTAAAGAATCTGATATTATAAATATTAGAGAAAATTTTATGCAAAATAGAATTTAGATCGTATTGTTCTATTTAATTTGATTTATATTCCTCAAGAAATATTACAAAACAACTGTTCTAGGTATGAATAATTTCGGCATGGCGTGGTCCCCAGAAAAGTACCAGGAGGGTAAGTACTTCTTTAAAAACAAAATTTTAACAAAAATATTTTTTTTGCTTTAAACTTAATTTTACTTAGTTGCATAAATTTTATTCTGAATTCTATATCAATATTCAAATAGTTTGCTTACTAATTGCTGTCAAAACCCTTTAGATATAGAATGCTAGTTTAAAAATATTTGCAAACAAAATCGTAGGTTTTGCTAGTCAACTAAGTGGACCAGAGCTGAACCAAGCTAGTCAGCCAGAACCTACCGCACCCCCTCCTGTTGTACCCGAACCAGTACGACCAGTTCAACCGGATTATTATAGACCAAAAGAATATGACCCAGCTGCTCACGTTGATCCTTTAGTTAGACCAGGTAAATAAGTTATTCACGGAAATATTATATTATATTATATGATATATATATATATATATATATATATATATATATATATATATATATATAGTGTGTATATATATATACGTAGACGGTTGTGTTTGGATTTAATTTGAGTCTCTTACCATTCTCTAACACGTGTTTCTGGGTCTACCCTTGCTATCGACATATACTATATGAGTTGGAAATTGATGAAAAAGTTGCCAACGTGATTGCAAACTAAATACTGACAAGAGAAATATACAAGTCCTGGATAGCACTAAAGTGTGGTTACTCTAGACTTACCAATATTTAGTTTTATCCAGAGAATGGTAAACGTTCTTTCAGATAACCATTGTTCTACTAGTCTCACATTTGTAGGTAATCTAAATCAATAATCTAAATAATATAAAAATGTGTAAAAATGTATATAAAAACATATTTTTCATGTAATTTATTTTATAGAGGGAGGATGGTACCAACAGGCTTCGTGGGGATTGATATTTCCCATCCATTGGCTCTGCCGAAAAACCATGCCGGACTGTAGAAGTGAAAAATATAGAAATTGGTACCCCTTCACATTCTTTGTATCGATGGTTTGGATTTCATTTTATTCTTACTTTATGGTATGGATGATTACTATTATCGGTGAGTTTAAATTTATATCCAAAAGAGATATTTGAAAAAGAGCTAATTATCGTTATTTTAGGTTACACTTTGGGAATCCCTGATACTGTCATGGGTCTTACGTTCGTAGCAGCAGGAGTTTCTGTTCCAGATGCTTTATCTAGCGTTGCAGTAATCAAAGAAGGGTAAGATTTTTAAATTAACAATGGTTAAGTTAAGTAAATTTCAAATGTAATTAGCTTCTGACGACCCTTCTCCCGTTTTTTCGTGAGATAATATATAGAAAACAACAAAATTGAAACAGAAAGTCAACACAAAGAATAAACATCCTATGCAATTGCACTGTGCTAAGGTATATGAGGCAGGACTTCACTGGTTAACTGAGGATTAAACCTCAAGAAATTCTAAAATTACAAATGAGGAAACTTACTAGATTTTAATGAAAATAAACACAGGCACGAAGGTGTTAAGTGCCAAATATTTAAGGGTCTCACTTGAACTATGAAGAGGAAGACTTGTTAACTGTTTAAATATTATTCAGTCCCAAATCGAAAGAAAATCTACAAGTACCTATTCATCCACTGTTTAAGGAAATGAAATACACTAAAAACATTCTTACGCGATTCTTAAATATATACGAGGGGACTCCAATATATATCAAGGAATTTACAAATGAATGAATAGCGTACGTAAACAGGTGATGCTACTGGAGTATTTAAACATTTTTTTTTTAAGTTAGTTAAATATTCTAATTGATGTAATCGTTTTAGATATGGTGACATGGCTGTTTCCAATGCAGTGGGAAGTAACGTGTTTGACATTCTTATATGTTTGGGATTACCTTGGTTTATCAAGACAGCTATAATTCGACCAGGATCTACAGTTCGTGTTTTAAGCAAAGGTAAATATTCTTACAACATTTCTTTAATCGTAACAATTTTTTCGATCTGTATTTGCGGATTCAATTTATGTGAATATACCAACATTGTAAATATATCATGAAATGTATATAATAGGTAATCACGATTATGATATTATACTGCCATCTATCGTTCAGTATTTGAATGGTCCAATCAACAAGGCAATCAAATCGGAAACTACGCCTGCTGGATATAGGTTAATGGGCCCTGTATTCGTTCTCCAGTACTTAAGTTCGCTTGTTATTCGCGACTTTGTGATCTGACTCTCTATTAGATAACCAAAAATTGTGTCCTTCTTCTTACATCCTACTTCTTACATTCTTCTAACACCAAACTTTGTTGTTTAATTAAACTACTCTAAGAAATCCTGTGATCTTGATAATAACCAACACTTCCAATAACCTAGAAGGTTTAAGGATTTGTTCTGGATTTAGTCGGTATTTACCTCTCTTCATCATCATCTTTGGCTCTACAACCCTGGGTGGGTTTTGGCCTGTTCAAGCATTAGTCTCCATTCCCCCCTTATCACTAAGAATTTTACATTTAAGGACACATATGGAAGTGCTTTCTTTCGTTCTTCATTTACTGCTTCATGGATCATTCACTCTGCGTATTGCTTTTACTTAGTTGATGGTGTCCACTGATACTCTGTCTTTTACAATTCGATAGACTATAAAAGTATCTCGTCAACGTTACCAATGATTTTCTTCGTACGAGTTTGTTTGTTAATATGGCTTTTTACACTCCTTTTTGAGTTTGATGTTTTCCACCATCACTCATGATGCAGCAGAATAATTCTGGACTTTGAATGTTTTTTTAGCCAGTGACTTTGAAAGTTTGTTCCCCTGGACTCCTTCATATCTTCACATCTGTGACAGAGACGCTTTATTAAGGAGATTCTTACAGTTTTTACCAGTTTTGAATTGGATTAGGTGGATTCTTAATCGCTAATATTATTAACTGGATTTCGAAAAGGTGTGTATTTATTTCACTCTGTAGATTTTCTTAATGATTTGATCAGCAAGGCTACTTTAGTCTGGAATACTGCAGAGTGTTCTAAACTATAAGTTCGTTAATTATTTTAGTTCAGATGAGTTCTAGTATTATCGTGACAGGTTATCTGAAAACTGGGTTAGTTAAATACGGTATCAGTCATTTTTGTGTGACAGATCATTGGGTATCAAGATGTTTTTAGCTTTTATGATGATCAAAATATTCAAAATAAGTAATTGTAATGGGAGAAGATCAGTGATAACTTCTAATGGTGTAGTTCCTGTAATGTTCAGGAAAATCTGTCTCTATAGATTAGTAAAATATGCACAATGTGCTACAAAATATAGACGGGACAAAAAAAATTTTATCCTTGGTAGCTATTACAATTCCATCTATGAAACCTTGTATCTATATTCCTTGGTTGCTAAGCCCGTAGATCAAATCATTAACCACTATGTTCAAATGCGTTAGTATAAGTACTCTTCCCTGAGGCCATCTCTTTGTTGAAGTTCAGTAAATAGCTCCTTGAATCGTTTTCGCGCGAATACTTCGGATACTTCACGAATTCATTTGGTTTAAATCATCATCATCAATCATCAATTAGCCTATATTTGTCCACCGCTGAACGTACGCCTTTTGTAAAATTTTTAACCTATTTCTATCTTAAGCTTCTTGCATCCAGTTTGTGGTGATGCGCTTGATATCATCCGTCCATCTAGTCGGTGGTCGACCTCTGCTTCGATATGCCTCTTGCCTAGGTCGCCATTCCAGAATCTCTCTGGTTCATCTATTATCCGTTAATCTGGCAACATGTCCGTCCCAAGCCCATTTAGCCATGGCTATTTTTTCAACTGCATCTGTGACTCCTGTTCTTCTCCTTATTTCTAGGTTTGGTACTTTGTCTCTGATGGTAATACCTAATATTGATCTTTCCATGGTTTAAATAAAGTTTTGGTTTAAATAATGATTATTAAATAATAAATAATAATACTAAGAAGATTAAATGTCTTTATAAAATAAAATGAAGGCAGTTATAGGCAGCTAATACAACCGTTTAGTTGCTACCTTAAGTCCGTTTAGAGAAATCTCCGGACCAGTTACCTCCGTTAAGAGCGTACGTTGCCACGAAGTGAATCTGCTTAAAATTTTAACATCCTACATAATTATCATCAATCATGTAGTTTAATACCAATTAAATAACATTTAAAGCGGGGGTGCTCAAACGGTCGATCGCGATCGACTGGTCGATCACGAGTGCTTTTTGGGTAGATCTCGAGAAGAAAAAAAATTTTAATAAGTAGGTAGGTAACTAAACTACTGCCAGCAGAGTTAAACGTTTTTATTAATACTGAACTATACAAATACATAGAATGCTTGACTAAGCATCATTGCAATTCAAAGAAGTGGGGACAACAAAATACTGTCCGCACAGCATACTTTATATTTACATATATTAACTAATTATTTTATTAATTCAATATTTATTATAATTATTAATCAAATTTGGGATGATATTCTATCAACTACAAAAATGTATTACGTAATAAAATAACACTGCTTGCGGCAAAAGGTGGCTTTATCAAAGGAACGCGCGGCACTTGTCAAAGAAAAGCCGTGTTGTTTCTAGACGAGAGACAGTACAGTCTATTTTCGGGCGGCGCGTTTGACGGGAACATTCGAGACTTTCGTTCGCGCCAATATAAATGTTTCGTCTGCAGGAATTGGAGTTATTCTGAATTGTAACTTGATAGCGATCCTACGTCGATACAAAGTTTATTATTAAATAGTGGAAATGAGTGCAGTGAAGAAATCTAAAACGTATCATTTTAATAAGGATTGGGAGGAAGAATTTTTCTTTTCTATGGTGAAGGATAAGTGCATTTGTGTTATTTGTCGTGCGTCAGTTGCAATACCTAAGCGTGGTAACTTAGAGAGGCATCATAAAACGGTACATAAAAACTATGAAAAGGATTTTCCGCCACAGAGTGAATTAAGAAAACGAAAAGTAAGTGATTTGATATCTTGTTTGAAAAAAGAATAATCCATGTTCACAAGACCAGCCAAACAATCAAAAGCTGCTACGATCGCGTCATTTAAAATATCTCATATTTTGGCGAAACACAAGAAACCATTTGAAGATGGATCGGTGGTGAAGGAATTATTGAAGCGAGTGAGACTTTATTTGGAGATTTTAAAAATAAAACAGAAATTATGTCTACTATTAGAGAACTTCAGTTATCTCGTCCGACTGTCACAAGGCGTATTGAAGTCATGAGTCAAGACATCGTAGATAAACTAAAACATGATATCATGGAATGTACATACTTTTTTTTACAGTTCGACGAATCCATCGATATGACAGACACTGCCCAGCTGTGTATTTTTATTCGGATGGAATTCAATGACATGTTGGATAAGGAAGAATTTTTGACATTCATTCCTCTGAAGGAGAAGACCCGTGGCGAAGATATATATGACGTTTTCTTAAATTTTGTAAAAAACTACGAGCTACCAATATATAAATTAATGTGCATTACAACCGATGGAGCACCAGCAATGACTGGAAACAAAAACGGTTTTGTGGCATTGTGTCGAGCTAATGAAGAATTCCCTTCATTTTTTTCATTCCATTGCATTATACATCAACAAGTTTTGTGTTCAAAAGTTTTAAACACGGAGGAAATTATGGGCATTGCAACAAAAATTGTGAATTCCATCCGTGCACGTAGCTTGCAACGGCGGCTCTTTCAGTTGCAATCCGAAGATAGGGAGTCAGCTGAACACACTGATATAGTTCTTCACACGGACGTCAGGTGGTTGAGTAGCGGAAAATTCTAGAGTCGCAGAAAAATGCGAGTTTGCATTTTCTGAAATGAAGATAATGAAGTCAAAATATCGCAATCGACTAACTGACATATGACATCATGCTTGCGATTAGCACTCAGTGGTTAGGTACCATCTTATGAAAAGTATGCTGAGGACATACAGTGCCACGCTTCAACATCCAAAGCCACTCCTTAGTTAAGTTTAACACTATATGTAACTCTTTTGTTTTGTAACAACAAATAAACTCGCAATTTTGAATAACTATGAGTTTTTTCATTGATATTGTAGAGAAGAACCTAACTAAACCTAACCCAAACCTTGACTAAAATAATGTACCTATATTGTGCAGAAAGCTAATATCTATATATGCTACGATACGCCCTACCTAGGTAGGTAGGGTGTATCGTGTATGTACGAAAACCTTGCATCACACACACTTGCAGTCTCTCAGAGTCGATCGTAAGTAGTCTAAAAATATTGAGGTAAATCGGCAGCAGTTCAAGTTCGAGCACCCCTGATTTAAAGGGTTTTCACCCATATATTTAGTGACTTTAAACATGTAATATATACTTAGTAGCAGCACTGAAGATAAAATATTTATTCCGAAAACGTTCCGTGATTCAGCAATTTCAGGGTTTTTTTAATAAATATACTATATGGCTTTTCCTATTTAAAAATGTAATTTTATTCTTATTAATTTCAGGTTTAACCTACTCGACACTATCTCTCCTCTCGACAGTAGTATTCCTAGTAGTAGCGACTCACATGAACGGATGGAAGTTAGATAGGCGCTTCGGCGTAATGCTTATGGTTTGGTACCTAGTATTCATAACGTTCGCCAGCATGTACGAATTGAACGTGTTCGGCTATATGAATCCACCAGAATGTAGTTGCGACTGGTAATTTCAAACCAAAGAAATGATACAACTTATAGCTTAAATATATTTATCGTTGTTACCATACCCTGTTACTGGTTTAGAGTTTTGAAACTTCAAGAAGTGTGAGACGATATCAACAGAGTTCTATCTGGTATACAACTCAAAATATGATGGTCTTATGCTTATTAAGATTGGTAGCTTTGTTGAAAGAAGAAATAGATGATTAAAAATATGTTAAGACTTTTTTATTTTTTCAGAATTTATCTTTATTTTCATTGTCATCATTTTATTTGAATCGCTGTAAAGGGTCTGCTTTCCCAATTACATTTTTTAATAATATTTCGTGTTTGGGTCATTATAAAATTAGTATCATCCACAGAAATGTTTTAACTATTTTCCATCAAGTTCTTTTAGGTCTCCCTTTCCGTTTCTTCAAGGAACTCTTTTTTTTCTACCTACCTCTTTTAGGAACTGAGTAACAAGGATAGGCAAAATGCCTTCACTTCCAGAATTCATTTTTTTCATTTTTTTACATTCCATGTAATTAAAAAAATAGGCTTAGTGCAATTTTAGCCTTAATTAATACCTTGAGAAGGTTATTGCTTAATCAAAGTTTAACTATTTAAATACCACAAAAAAATTGTTGAAAATATACCTTAAAAAACGAAATTGTGGAGATCCTACCATTTAGGGTGTATTCCTAAATGGTCCTTTGTAATGGCAGTGGAAAAACTATCCACATAATTCCAATTTCTGGCGAAATACTAAACCCCAACTTAAACGGTTATTCTCTAATATCCCGTGTGACTTCTTTTGGATTTTTTTCAAGCAGAATAGGTGGCGGACAATTTATGGGTCAAACTGCAACACAACAGCTAAAATAATATTTCTTCTAATTTACCCGCCACATGTTGTTAGTTTGACTTCTTATTCAGAAGTGACGGCCTCAACACGTGTACGTCAAATACCCCCATTCCCCCAAAAAGTAACGTCGACGCAAAGCCATATTCTTGACAGGTACGAACAACTAAGAGTTTCCAATTTTTTTCCAATGAAAATATGGAAAAACCGTGTTTTTTACATATTTTCATTACAGTAACATTGTTAACCTTAGCAACGCTTTTACTTGGACGTGTTGAATCTACCTCGATTGTTGCACAAATTCGTGTATCCCGGTATTTTCTTTCCTCAACTTTTCCTCGACACTGTAGTTGTCTTAGAAATGTTTTGGATTCTTGTTAACACCTGTTGAAGAAACTGTATTATTTCAAGAACCATTTGAACCATTCATGGTACCAAATATTCATTACTTAAGGTCAGAATGATTATTATAGCTAAACATGCTAAACGATGAGACCAAAAACAAGTAATATGACAATAAACTCAATAAATAAGTGAGTAAAGGCCAACAAAATTAAGAGACTGAAACCAAAATATGTAAAGAAAGTATAGAGCATACTTGAAGTATGCTTAAAAGTAGAACTTCGGATGCACAAGAAAATATAATTACAACATAAAAAGAAAAAACAACATAAATGCCGGAACAACCTGCAAATACAAAGTAACAAGAGAGTCAGGCACTTGTTAGAATAAAAATTAGAAATGTCAAAGAAGTAAGGATGATAGAGTGAAGATCATGAGTCCCGAGGTCAAGAATTGAGAGCATTTTAAAATCAAATTAATGAAGTGGCCTATTTTATATTTTGTATTGTGTATATTTTTACACCTTATGGACAGAAGGAGGGAAAATAAGAATAATCCCGAACAATGTGAAGAACTGGATACAACTGTCAGTAGAAAGATAAAAAAATTTAAAGAGAAATGGTTACAAGAAAAATGTCAAGAGATAGATGAGCTAGAACGAGCTAGAATGAATAGTTTTAACATGTATAAAAAAATCAAGAAGTTTACTTATACTTATAAGACAAAACAGTTTGGTAGGTTTGGTAGGTTAATAGACGAGAACAATAAACTTATTGTAGATAAAGAAGAACAGTTATAGACTTGGGTAAATTACATAAAATATTTGTTTACGGATTATCGTCATATTTCTACGAACACTATTGATTTGAATGGACCGAAAATATTAAAAAGTGGGGTGATAAAAGCTATAGATAAAACGAAAGATGGGAAAGTAACAGAATGCGATGAAATACCAGTCGAATTTTTAAAAGTTTTTAACGAGAACAACCTGAATGTAGTATTGGAACTGTTTAATAAGATATACGATACTGGTCAAATTTCATCGGACTGGTTGAAATCTACATTTGAGCCCCTTCCCAGGAAATCGAATTCTAAGACGTGTAGTGAATATCGCCTTATAAGTCACACCCTTAAAGTATTCTTGCGTATTATCCATTCCAGAATACGAGCAAAATTAGAACACAGCATAAGTAAAACACAGTTCGGTTTTAGATGCGGTTTTGGAACTCGAGAGCCCCTCTTGCAATACAACTCTTGATTCAAAAATGCCTGGATTAACAGAAAGATGTTTACGCCTGTTTTATCGACTATGAGAAAGCATTCGATACTATCAAACATGACAAACTCATAGAACTATTACATCTTACAGGACTTGATCATCATCAATCAGCCAATCGCGTCCACTACTGGACATAGGCCTCCCTCAGTTCTTTCCAGTGTTCTCTACAGTGGGCCGCTTGTAGCCAGTTTCCCGCTACACATTTTATATCATCGGTCCATGTAGTATTGATACAGGACTTGATACCAGATTATAAAATATCTATATTGGAATTAAACAGCCCACATGAAGAATGGAGATATGGTGAGTGAAAACGTAACCATTTTGAGATGGATTAGACAGGTCTATATTTTTTCGTCACTGCTTTTCAACCTCTACTACTACTACTATCGGTTTACAGCGTTCTCCGACGTCTTCCTACTCCTAACCGCCGTTCTTCTCTATTCAACCATAGGCCTGGAGGGATTTCTCTTTCCTCTAGTTCTTTTTCAATTCCCTCTCTCCAGCTTCTTCTCGGTCTTCCTCTTTTCCTTCTCCCTTGTGGTATCCACGTCAAAATCTGTTTTGGAATCCTGTCATCTGACATTCTGTGTACATGGCCGTACCATATTAACTGTTTCGTTTTTATGTCATCAACTGTTGTATGCTTGACTCCCATCATTTCTCGTATTCTCTCATTTGGTATCCGATCTCTTCTTGATTTGCCTGCTGTTCTTCTCCAGAAGTCCATTTCTGTTGCTAGTAACAGTTTCTCTATTCTTTGTTTCATTAGCCAAAGTTCACTGCCATATGTGATTACACTTTTAAGTATGGTGTTGTATATGAGTTGTTTGTTCGCTTTAGATATTGTTTGGTCCCACAGAATGCCGTTCATCATGGATATGGCTTTTCTACCCTGTATGTTTCTGTCTTTTATAGCAGCATCGAGTGTTCCATCTTGAGTTATCTTCATACCCAAGTACTTGTATTCGTCACAGTTTCTAATTTCTACCCCATCGTCTAATATAATGGATTGTTTTGTCCCTCCAATACACATGGCTTCAGTTTTTTTAATGTTGACTTCGAGATCCCATTTGTTATATTCTTCTATTAGCTTTCGAGTCATGTAACTCAAGTCGTCATGATCCTGGGCAATCAGTATTTGGTCATCAGCGAAACATAAGGTGTACAGTGTAGTCTGGTCACTGAGAGGGATTCCCATGCCATTACATTTTCTTTTCCATAGCTTGAGTGCTTGTTCCAGATAAATTTTGAAAAGGGTAGGCGAAATACAGCAACCCTACTTTAGTCCTTTCGTGACCTTAAATCCTTCAGATATCCTTGATCCAGTTTTAATTTTTGCAGTCGTTCCATTATACAGACTTTGGACTGCTTTGATAAGACCAAGCTTAATGTTGGTTTGCTGTAGGGTTGACCATAGTTTACTTAGGGGTACACTGTCATATGCTTTTTGTAAGTCTACGTACACCAGGTGAACTTCTTTATTGAAGGATGTTTTTTTCTCAATAACTTGCGTAATAGAGTACAGGTGGTCTACTGTGGATCGCCCAGCTCTAAAACCAGCTTGCTCTTCTGCTTCATAATCTCTATAGTCATTTTCTATTTTGTTCTTAATAAGTTTCCCATACTTCCTACTTATTGTGCTGTTTACCGCAATTCCTCTGTAATTTTCATAGTGATCCTTGCTGCCCTTTTTGTGGAAAGTTGGCATGATAGATAATTTCCATTCTTTTGGTAATTCGGCCCTATTCAGGCCCCCCTTTTTCAACCTCTACACGGAACAAATATTTCTAGAGGCACTGGAAGAGTACAACGAGGGCATCAAGATTAATGGCGTACCAATAAGTAATTTTTAATATGCAGATGATACTGTTATACTGATCGATAACATCGAAGATTTACAGATGATGCTAAATAAAACAAATACAACTGGCAATCGATTTGGACTGAAGATCAATAGAAAGAAAACTAAATTTATGTTGATCAGTAAAAAGAACGTTCAACATATCGACCTCAATATTGAAACCGAACGTATTGAAAGAGTACACCGATCTAAATATCTGGGATATACAGTAAATGATAAGTGGAACCCAGACGTAGAGATTAAGATCTGAATTCATCAAAATGAGAAAGCTCTTAAGCAACCGCAACCTAAGCGTTAACCTCCGATGGCGCGCCACGAAATGCTACGTACTCTCTACGCTACTTTACCAAGTAGAAGGATGGACGTTGACAGCAGCAACTATAAAGAAGTTAGCGGCTCTAGAAATGTAGTTGTATCGACGCATACTGAGAATACCTTGGACAGGCAGAGTGGTCAACACAGAGGTATTAAGACGAATGGGTAAAGAGGTGGAATTCTTAACAACTGTTAAAAGGAGGAAAGCGTCATACCTGGGCCATGTGTTCCGTATTGATAAGTACAGTCTACTACAGCTTATCGTGGAAGGCAAGATTGAAAGTAGAAGAGTTTTGGGCAGAAAGAAGAAATCCTGGCTGATAAACTTGAAAGAATGGTTTCAAATACCAGAAGCTGCGAACAT